AGTCCACTGAGGCAGGGGCATGCTGATAAAACAAGTAGCAAAGTATGCCAACCAGTAAAGGTCTCCACTGAGAATAGAATTTTTCCGCCAGAGCAAAAGGCACAGAATCTGTCCTTCAATTCTTCCCGGTACGTGAGTGAAATAAGAGAACACTAAGGCAATTGACCACTTGAAATTCTTCTCAAGGCTGTGAGTTCTATCAGAATTTTTCATTTTCACCTTGGAAGTACCGTGAACAGGGGTTTCCTTCAACTCTGGCCTGTTGTCAAATGGACTTTAAAAAAATGAATATAAGCAATGCCTGGCCAAAAGTTAGAGGTGACATGAATCTTTATCCATTCTGAATTTCCATGAGGATTCTGAACTTCATGTGAGTTGCTAAGTGTTGGCTAGACATTGACCTTTGATTGGTCGAACATCATTGGTATTCACTTTTGGGACCTCAACACAAGCTGCTGCAATTATAAATGTTTATATTTCATAGTTAGAGACAATTTTGTGTGGCTTTCTGGCTATGTGAGGGCAAATTACTTAATGCAGTTTTCTTCAGGTGAAACTGATAGTTCTTCAGGCTGTTTAAAGCTACCAGCTTTCCCCAGAATCTCCTCAAACTAGAAACTTCACTAGGGAACCCAAGGGTTTGCCTTGTGTTCTATAGTTCCTGGAACCCTAACAGGGTAGATGGAAATAATACTTTCCTTTACATTGGTGTATGCAGCAAAATAATGAATGAACCTTGCTTTTCCCATTAATTGTTCTATACTTTGGTCTATTTTGGCAGGTAGGGTGTATGTTCAAGTGCCTCCCCAGATTTCACAGTTCCCTTTAATTATGTCTCCCTTGTTCCTCGACAGGAATCAGTTAAAATCACTAATGGAGTTATTAGGAATAGGCCCACACCACAGTTATGACCATGGGATATGAGAGCTTCCCTTTCCTGTCACACTTTAGTAACACTACTGTAGTGGATGTGTGTGAGATGATTCTTCTGCTATGGGATGATTTTCAAGGAGTACAAAGTTGTCTTTTTTTTAACAACTCACAAACATCTGTATGTTACCACATTGGATGACTAACATCACACCTCAGAACGATGGTGAGACACATCTGGATCCCCAGACCCCTCAGCTGAGAGGA